AGAATATTATATTTTATAGAAACAAGAAAAAATTAAAACTTCGTAATATCCTCTGTGAATATAACTTCTCGAGTACTCTGTTGAGTATTGAGTTTGATATTTCATTATACATAGATATGTACGATAGCGTTTCGCAATATTCTCCGGGATAGCATTTCATCGTATTATACCAATGAATTCTCCACTTGTTAGATAATTCCATGAACTTTTTCGCTCTCAGATTTCATTCCCTTAACCATCCTTTTAATTTTCTATAAACTGATGAAAACTGATGAATCGAGATCGAAATTGTTGAAGCGATTCCCATTAAATTCTTCGGTGTTATTGGCGTTTATAAACATCCAGAGAATCCATGGATCGCATACTACGAACGCGAGTAGGCCTCCAGAGAATGTGATCAATGTGCTGGGATCAAAAGTGGCCCATGCGCATATGTGTGCACACCCAACGTTCAAAATTTCACTCTTCATTCTTCCCGATACCACTTTGATCCATAAATCCTCCTTCTGAAACTAGAAGCCTCTTTCTCAAGAGAAATTAACACGTTCGATCGAGAAGAAGAGGTTATGCGAGTACATGTAAAACGATACAACGTATATAATTTGAGGTCGTCGTAAGTTGAAATATATAAATTCTATATACCCATAACCGTTTGTAAACAAGTTTAACTTGGTTGAGGATTGATGGAAAATTTCGCAAGCATGCGCGTAATCTATCTCGTATTCGGGCGAGTTCGGAAAGGATCGGGCAGATTCGGAAAAAATCGTGCGGGCTACGGATCGACGGATATACGAGTCATTCCTGGATAGATTTCTTTTTGACAGAATTTTTCTTCTAGATTTATTATTAATTAATAAATCATTACGATGCATTATTCTGTGATTCAGCTCGAACAATATTTATGGAAAAATAAGTTTTTTTCGATTATGAATTAAACATTCTTGAAATCATTACATAAAAAACATTCATTCGTTTCCTGACGCAATGTGTAAAAAGGATTCAAACCTTCATTTTACTGAAGTAAAATTAGAAATGATTGTGCGCCTACTACTATTAACTCGTGGAGTTAATTTTGGAAAAAAAAAAAATATTTTAAACCAATGAACTGTGAAACATTCGAAACAGCATATTTACCAATTATGCTCAAAAGAGATATTGATTTCTCTTTGTAAATATTTTTTTAAACATAGAAAAAACAGTTGAAGAAAGAGTAAAATCAAAATAAACGAATCGTTCGATTCTTGTCAAAAATAATCCTTCCTACGTCACAGATCTAATTATTTAACTTTCATTGTATTTTATTATATTATTTCTATTCCCGAGGTAAAAAATAATCTAGAGACTGGAACAAATCTAAAAATTGGTATGTAAAAATATCTATTCGAATTTATTTTTCAAATTATTGATGTTGAATGGAATAAGACGAAGAGAAATAACTTTATTTTCTATTTCAATTCTCTATCTAATATAAACGTACACTGGTTGGAAATCTTTTTTTACAATTCTATGATCAAAAATTTTATCATCTTAATAATTTCGATATATTTCCTATTTATCTCGTGTTCTATCCTGTATATTAACTCTGTACATAATATTATGTGGTCTGACCAGATATGGCCTGCATTTAAAGTCATCAAGTTATAGGGTGCTCGCCCTGCATATTACATGTACGTAGCATTAAGAGATTAAGATATCAGTCATATATCGACCGTTCATCCGGTTTCGGTTATCACGACATTATCCAAGTTAAACGTGTTAACTGCTTTTAGAGCAGAAAGAGACTCGGTAAGCCACGATACGGACCGCGTAAAATGAAGTGGCGCAGGATGAACGATGATAGGTTGGTTTATCGGTGAATTATGTCGCGTGCCAGAGGGATAGAAAAACTGCTTGTTGATGAATGGTGATATTTTTCTAGGGAGATGATACGGTAAGGGAATTTGGCTGAGTTGATTGAATTTCTGCGTGGAATGGGATGGTGGTTAAGCGTGGAATGTTCGGGCATGATGAAGGTTCAGGGAATGATGGTGGTTGAAATTAGCGAGTAGTTAAAGTTTTGGGGATATTGGTTTCAAATGATTTGAAGTTTAAAACAGGATCATATGTAGCGTGAAGTATCGAGAAGGATTCTTGCGATTCATTAAATTTTTATGAAAGGATGAATTGAAAATTTTGATTAGGGAGAGAAAAGATACATTTATTTTTGGTTTATAGTGTTTTTTTTTTCATGTTAAATTAAACCAATAATTTTATAAACAATCTTCTTTTATAATTAATCTTCTCAAACAGTTGTTACAAATAGATTTTTTGTTTTTTTTTTTTTGTACTCGATCATTAAAATCATTAAAAAAAGATTATTTTAAGGATAAATTATAAAATTATTTTAGATTTTTATACAAATTTTTAAAAGTAGTTATAATTATTAAGATTATTAATAATCAATTATTTATTACATGATATATGGAGAATAACTATTTTCCCAAAAATAGTAATAAATTGTCGATTAATCGCAATATATTATCATTGAACAAGATTTGCATAAATCAGCATATCATTTCTATGATAAAATATCATAGATCTCCGTAATGGATTGCAATAGTAAATTGCCTCAGAGAGACATGGTGCATCGTGATTCTTGATATTATAGATTATAGTATCACGTATATTAATAGGAGTACATGGCACAGGACAATATAGATGGACATTGTTTAACAATGGCTGATCTATGACCAACTTGTATTACTTTATATTTATCAGAAAGACCTAACAATATTTCTATTAACGTTAAAAAATTTCTTCACATTTTTGATCAATTTATAATTGAAATTGAGGAGAATTATTTTTGGAATAATACGTGTCTTGTAAAATGTTATAATTTTATTTTTATTTTATGCAATTCAATCTATCGCACATTTTAAAGTTTCCCATTTGTCGAAATGCTTGTTACACATGATTTCACAATTGTTAAACAATGTTAAAATAAAAATGCTCACTATAATAATGCTCGTCATTACAATTCAATTTTCAAGATCGATCACATATTCTTATCGATGAAAATACTAACCTTTTTCTTTTTTTTTTTTGTATCTTTCACTTTTTACTCGAGGTAGAAGCAAACAGTAATCGAAGATTCAATTAATATTTGAGAAAAAAATCTCGACGGACGAATAAAAAATTCTTTATACCTCTGTATTTCACGCTGCTAGTCACTTTTTAATTTGTGCCTTTGTTTACCAACCGAGCCGAAAAGGCAATAGTAGTGCGTGCGCAAATTTACCTATCCCGCGGCAATCGTTTCCCTCACGTTGCTGATAATTAAAAAACGTTTCACGCCGTGGATGTATTAAAGTCAGAATGGTTATTTTTTACACGAAGAAACATGGAATGTCACCAAAATTTTTTTTTTTGGATTAAGTGAAATGATATCTCGTCCCTTTTAACGAAGGTAAACAGCCAATTGCATGCCTTTAAATATAAACAACATTATTAGCAGTCGTCAGAGAGCGCTGTTTGCAGATGCAACGGGAAACGAAGTTACGTAACGACGAATCCGCAATTATCCACGCCTTCGAATTTAGTATCGAGGTTATAACTATTTGATTTGATATAAATTAAAAAAAAAGAAAAATACACGATGCTAAAATTTAGTGCTAACAAATAATAATAATAATGAATTTTTTTTGTAGGATATAAAGATTTTAATTGCGATCGAAGTGGCGATTATTATTCATCGATCAGTTTCGTATAAAAATCAGAGTGAAAATTCAAAGATAAAATTAATAGATACACATATTGTGCATATATTCTTTGATTATAAAATTTATATTTTTTAGAAATTCCAAAATTATTTTCGCAAATTTTGGAAATATCAGTAATATAACTTCTTATCAGAATGTATTCTGATTTCCTTCTTTTAGATAGATATTTATCTTTATGAAACTATATAATTCGTATCGGGATTTTAATGAAATAAAACAGAAAATTTGTAGAATCTAAATTTTCATATAAATTTTTTAAAAGTTTTCTCATATAGTAAAATATATTTCGAAAAAATCTCCATAAAGATTTAAATTGAATTATTATTATATTTTAATGTATGATATAATTCAGAATGGATAGATTAAGAAAAATGCTTTAAAATATTCAAAACATTAAATCAAAATTGATAACAGTAAATAATCCTTATCATATGAAATAAGTTAAAATTAATATTTAGTCAATTTTTCTTTTTCATTGTTTGGAATTTTTTATTCTAAAAAATATTCCTATTCGAAAAAGTTAAAAAATACACACGACTTTAACAATATCGATACCGTTGGCTATAATAATTTACGATCTCGCTATACCATAAAAACTTTTAGTATACATATTTATATAATCATATTTAAAAAACGATGGATTCCAGGCAGCAAAGGAACACTTGGCTGCAACCAAGTACTACTTGCATACTATGATAGGTTAAGCATCTCTCTAGGTTAAGCTGAGAGGTTCGAGAAAAGATGGATGGCCCACATGAATGATACTTTTCACGGGTATTTGAATCCATTCCCTGCGTCTTCGATTTTCCAGCGATCTGTATATTCGAAGCTGTTCTACATACACTCGAAATTTTTAACTCTCTCTTTTGCTCGCTCAATCTTTTTCTTCTCTATGCGCTCCTCCCCTCCTCTTTTCTTTTCTGTTCCTTCCATCTTTTTCTCTTTGTTGTATTTTTCAGAGAGAGAACATCCATCTAATAGCTATCATTAATAGTCCCTTCCTCCCTGTTACTTTAGACAATTACTTGATTGTTATTCACACTTTTTGAAATTTTCTTTCAAAGATTTCTTCTTGCTAGACTAACTCTGTAAAGAATGTTAATTCCAAATCATTGATATCAAGTAATCTATCAGATTAAGATCTTGACAAATTTTTGTATTCCAGAAACGAATTCCATTGTAAGGAATTTTGGAGAGAATTTTAGTAACGAGGGACTATCTTCCCTTTTAAGAGAGAGGGAATTTTAATAATAAAAGAACGACAGATATTAGGGAAGGAATTTTGGTATATAAAGAAAAAACACTTTATGTGTACATATATTAAAAATAAAGGGTTATTATAATAAAAGTTGATCGAAAGCTTATGTTTCAAGTATTATAAATTATAATCCAGATTGTTGCAAATTCATCTTTGAAGTATTAATTATTGTAACACTTGAGGCACAAGCTTTTCATCATCAAGTTATGATATGCTTTTGAATTTGTTTTAATCAATAAATTTCATGAATTTTAATAATTTAATCGAAATGAATTTTAGAATACAAGATTAATAAATGATAATATAAAATATAAAAGTAATAAAAGAAATTAAAAAAAAATAAAGGAGAGATATAAAGAAGGAAGATATAACTGTAAAAAATGGTACCAACAAAAAAAAAAAAGGAATAGAGTCGTTATTTTTGCGATTCTAATTTCGACTTCACAGCTCTGGAAAAAGGAAAAGAATGAAAAGGCACGAAGAAAGATATCAAGTAATGGGAAGAAAGTAATATAAAGACACGAAAGAAAAAATTCATGGCAATAGAAAAAGTAAGTACGAATATAAAAGATAACAATTTCACATTACCATGACTGATTGTGGTTTCGAATTTTCTTCAGATTTCCGACCATTCTCTTGTCTGATTTTATGATCTCGCTATATTATTACGTAGATTACTTTATATATAGATATAACATTACCTGAAAATGTAAGAAATTAAATTTACATGTGGATGTCACGTTTTATGAGACTCTAATTATATTATACTTAAGCTGTTGTTTACTATGTAATGTCAGATGAAATAAACAGGGCAACATTTTTATCTCAAATACATTCAAGGTAGGGTTCTTATATTACCTAGAAATTGAGAAAAATTATATTAAAATGTGATATACATTTCAATTTCATAAATATCAAATATCATTAAAAATTAGTATTATTTAAGGAATATTATTCATAATTTTTTAGAATTATTTATTAATATGAAAAATTAACACTGTTACCTTGTATTAAAATTTTCTCAAATTCTTTTTTTTTTAATTCTTAATTTTGTTTTACAAGATTTTATTTTCTTTGGCATAAAGTTTTATTTTTTTAATCTACGATTTGAGATATATTATATATTAATTTATGATACTATATTTAGCATTATAGTTATCGTTCTTTCAAAGTGGATAATTGCATAATTTACTGCAAATTGGAATAAACGTTGCTATATGAACATTTTGGTTTTAACGAGAGCAGAAGTGAAATTTGTTGAGGAAATTATGTTAAAAGTTTCACATTTTACAACATGCTCTGTGGACAAGTAATTAATCAGTGAATAAATGTATATGATTTTCTAATTTCTAGATCCAATTGTAAATAAAGTAGAGATACAATTAAATAAATATATATACTTTATTGTGATTTTTCACAGATTGTCCAAAGAGAAAAAGAAAAACATGATACAATCGAAATGCGAACTAATTGTCCAATCAAATTGGAAGACCGAGTCTTTCGAATAAGCGGATTATCGGATAATCGGTTAACAAGAACCTAAATTTGTGAATTTACGAAATAGAAATTAAACAATTTTTTCAACATTAAAAGAATTAAAAGAATACATATCTCCGTACTAGTATAGAAATAAAAATATATTAGTTTAAACGTATGTATGAATATAATAACAATTATTAACAATTAAATATAATTGAATATTCAGTATATAATCATTATTATCTTAATCATCATTATATTAATTATATTTATTTTGTATTCGAATAATTAATCATTGGATAATTGAAATTCGAATAATATCGTATTCGAATATTCCGTCTTAGTTAGTCCTCTCTTGTCTTCACCTGATTCACAGTAGAGTGAATTAGCGAATTAATGTTAGCTACATCTTCGTCCATATAGCAAAGTACGTTATATGTGCACATAGTTGCTAACCTAGTGCTAGTAATATTGAAATTCGAACTTTTCTTTTTTTTTTTTTTTTTTATTCTAACATCGATGAATGTAAAAAATTGTGATAAATGTATTAATGAGAGACAAGAAAGACGGAGAGTTCAAGCGTTAAAGAAATACATGATATATTGCTTCATATGAAATTACTCACCTCGTTTAATTTGAAAGAGATCACTCCCCAGTTGGTACGGATAATTCTCTAGCATATACATTGACTATATACCATATACATTTACTTAATACGTATATCTCTGTTAAAAAAGCTCGAGCACGCGACTTCGAATTGGCCGATTACGAAGCAGATCCCTCGCCAGGCAAAGGGTTAAGACTTTTCCTTGAAACTTAATTATGCGCCGTGTACAATAGCAACGGCCTGATATTTTCACGTGTGTCTGTTTCTTTCAACGACCACGGCCCCATTCCACGCGGCGCATTTTTCTTTTCCGCGCTTCGTCGCCCCGTTATTTACTACGACTTCCTGTGTGCTCTCTTTTTGATTTATCTACTCACCGTCGCGTTTCACCGTCCCGTTTTCCCTGAATATTTAAACCGAAGACACACTGTCACTCCTCTGTTCCATTTTCCCCTCCTGCTCCCCCACTCTACGCGCCCGTGTTTCTCGTTTGTTTCTCTTCTTTTCTCACCTTGAGGACCGTGTAGTACGAAGTTTTCGAAAAAAGCTTTTTTGAGGAAAAGAAGGGAAAAATTGTTAGCAGCTAAAAAATGCGGTTTTTCATAAACCGCTGTTTGAGATTTTCGAGAAAAGAGAAAAAAAATTCTTTTATCAATTTGAAGTGTAGATTTGGCTTTCTCCTTTGTTTGATTTAGCTTTTTAGAGTTTTTTTTTTTTTAAGTTTTTTTGAATATTTTTTTTTTTGAAAGAATTTTTAGCAGAAAAAGATTTTTTCTTTACAAGAAGATATCTTTCTCTAAAGTAAAATCTTGACTGTTTCAATGCAAAGTAAAAACCAGATATTAATAAAAGAAAAAATTGTTAATTATTGAAAATATGCATAGTTTTCTTATTTTTAATTTAAAAATTAAAATAATGAAAATCTGAAAAATTCTATCTTTTTTCTTTTTTTTTTTATTTGAAAAATTATATTACAAAAATGTTTCACAAAATTTTAAAAAAGTTTTTCATGTATTTAAATAAATTTCTAAAAAAAAAAAAGAATAAAACAATTTTTTTTCTATTAAAAAATTGAAAATCCTGTAAGCACAATCAATATTTAATTATCCACTATTACAATTTTTATATAACTTTCTTCATTATTTATCCATTCTCTACTCCATGTTTTCCCTAATTTTTTCTTATTTTATTTTAAAATCTTTTTCATATATAATAAACTCTGCTCATATAATAAAAATAAAAAAATTTTCAAAAGATTTCGAAATATAAGATTTAAAACTCAAAACTGTTGTTAATATTATACATTCGTTTTGAAAGAACGAACAATAACAAATAATTAATCAGCAATGATAATTTTAAAAATAATTATAATTTAAATAGTAGATTGTGAATAACGATCCAAAAGAAAATTTTATACATTTAAATTGTTTTACTAATGTTAGTGTATTTTTTTTTTATTGCCTCTCTAAATCTCTGTTTGAGAAATCTCGTTTTTGTACAATTTTTTCTTTTTTCGATAGTTTCTAGCGGGCTTTGAATGTTAGAGAAGAGTGTGAGAATAAATCGGTCGAATATAGGCGGTTTTGATACTCTCTGTGGTGTTCTCTGCGTTCGCACGTAGCGTGTGAGTATGAAAATTACGAAGCTCTTTTATGCGTGACTTTGTATTCCCTAGTTCATTCCATTCGACAAAATTTTTTTTATCTTTTTTTTTCTCAATTAAACTGAAAAAATGATGAAGAAATCGCTTTAAATTCGAATTCGATATCGAATAAAAATCTTATTCGATAAATTATAAGATTTAAATTAATTTCTCATTCATTATATAAACATTGTAGAATTCAATTAACACTACGAAAAGTATTGTATTGAAAAATTACAAAATTGTAACTGTATTCGCTCAAAATAATTTTCAAAAATATTCTATATTGGATTATCGATAATTCAAACATGAATTTCACTTCAGAATCATCACAAATCATCCTTTTACTATCTATTCTGAAATTTATTCTGAATCTAAATCTGAATCTAAATCTATTTCTGAACTCTCAAAATAAATATTATACAAATTCGCGCATCATTGCTTCTTCAGAAATTTTTTAAATAAAAATTAACGGAAAGATATTGCACAGCTAGATTATTTCGCACTCGACTCATGCTACCCGCATTTCATTTCCTCCTCTGCTTTACATTTTCTCACTTCTCAAACACTATCCATATCTCCACATCTCGAGCAGACACGAATTTCCAAAAACGTTTTATCCTGATTTAAAGTAAATAATCTAAATTCTTTGATAACACGCAGAACAATCAAGTATTTTGATACAAGCACAAAGCGACACAGTGAATTCAAGAAAAATGAATTTTTCATCTACTTTTCCCTAACCGTCTCCATTCCTTTCTATAGCTTTGTGTGCTTTCACTTTTTTTGTGCGGTCCTATCCTTCTGCTCCTTTCTCTCACAGTTGTTTCCTCGATCCTTTTCACGCCTTTCTAATTACTCTCTGGTTCAACGTATAAAAAATGACGACGAGCAACCGTCGGTCAATTAACTTACAAACGAAAAAAGAGGAAACTCGGGACTCTCGAGCGAACGAGACACAATGCGCGTGAAAATCTGAATAGTCATGAACGGCTGGCGTCGCGCGCATCAGAAAGAGGGGGAAAGAAACTAGAAAATAGGGAAAGAGGCTTTGTCATTGTTCGTTTGGCAGTAGTGGCACGTGTCTTTTCGCGTTTTTGAGAACGTATCGATAATTTTATCTAGATTAATAAAGAATGGACGAAATATATAATTATTTAACATTCATAGATTGAATCGAAGGATTACAAATACATTCTGGAAAAAGAGAACACGTTATTCATGTAGAGAAGAATAATGTAATAACGTTTTGGCAGCTTTAAAAATAATTTAAAGGTGAAGATCTAAAATGGCGTGGATCAGGTTAGTTTGATTTTTCGTTGACGATTTTTATACGAATAGGAATAGAATAAAATATATATTACATTTTTATATTCGTACTATTTGTTTATAATATACATATGCGAATAAAATTACATACCATACGAGTTTTTTCAATTCTATATTGTTTCGAAATCAATATGAAATTAAAAAAATAATATATTAAAAATAAAATAAAAATAAATATATTAATTATATCGAAATTATATCTTTATATAATATATTTTTTTTATATAATATATAAGTATAATTTAAAATTATATTTTGTTATTACAAATATTTATAATGAATTTTTCGATGTAATGAATATAATGCAGTTTTTTTTTTTTTCAAGTAATTTAAAAACTAAGAACGCAATTATATATATAGAAAAAAGTTCTTTAAAATATTAATTTTTATATTATTTAAAAATCATTTAAAACTAAAAACATTTTTCTGAATAATTAACTATCATTTTATTCTACTATAAATAATTTGATTGATTAATTCAGTGATGAAAAGAAAATATTTTTAGATAAATGAAGAGCAATTTTTTAACTATTTTTTTTCAATATATTGTTTTTCATTTTTAATTTGATTGTTGAAGAACAACAGGATGTATTTTTATTGCTAAAAATTTGTCTACAAATAATTTGCATAATAAATTTCGTAATAAAAAAGAAATATTCTAACATAGAATCGAATGTAATTTATTAATTATTATTAGTTTTATTTATGTTCTTTTTATTTTATTTTATTATTCTTATTCTTTTATTGAGATCTTTTAATTATAATTTTAAATTTTTTATTTTGAATAATTATTTTAAATAATTCATCTTAATCAATAAAAAAAAGATTTTGTATCTCATCAAGCCATGTAAATTTTTTATACTATTAAATCTATTTACTTTCCATTAATTAATTAATTTTGAAACAATTCTTATTTTATTTCTTATTTCTTTTGAAGAAATTGTCAATAGCTAGTAAAATAGTTAAGAAAAGCATATATAGCTGTTATTTATATCGCTTCAAAATCCGTCTAGCTCGTCTTTTATGAAGGTTTCAATAAAGATTGCAGGTGTGAGTTTTCTGATGTGAAAAGCTAGTTCTACCAAGTTTCTTGAGTATTCACTGGAATGTGTAACAAGATGGAACCAACTCTGTTGATACTTCCATTACCGAGTATATTTACATACATATATTTCTATCTTATACCACTTTTTTTTATCACTTCTTTTTTCACTTCTTTTTTTGATCGTTATTTAACTTTTGTATACATTGGTAATTATAAAGTGCATCAAATTAGTCTTAGAAATTTGTTTATTTGTTCATTTTTTCCTATTTGTTTATTTATCTTTTTGTTAATTAATTTACATTGCTATTAAAAATATTGATTTATTTCCTTTTTTGGTAGATTTAAATATTTTTCACAGAAATTTATATTTATTTTTTTGCCTAAATATGTATCAATTTAATACTGGTTTATTTTTATTAAATTAATCATTTTGATTTTTCATTTTGAATTTAATTTTAAATTTTTCTTTGCCACTGTTCATGTTTTTATATTAACAGATATAGGTTATTTAAAAATCATCATTGAGACTTAATTTAAGCTATTTTATATATTCTATACATGTATTATTTTTAAAGATCATTATAATTACTCAATACAGGATATTTCGAATATAAATAGACAAAATTTAATAATTGAAGTTCAGGATAAAATTATTCCAATAATTTAATTTTTCAACCATTATTTTATTATTCAAAATATCAAATAATTTCAAATAACTGTAATTAATTAAACAATCGAGTGAAGCGGAAAGACTATAATAGGTATAAATAAATGTTATTCAAGTATTTTAATAAATAATTATTTGAAGTAACTTTGTTCGAAATTTTTAACTAATTATTTTTTTAACAGATCAATGCCGAACGCTGTCCGAAAGTTTCGGAAAACAATTCATTGAAAATTGTGTTCTAATTAATATAAAAAAATTTTTTTCATTAGAATTGAATATTTAATAAAATGAAAGTTTAGAAACCTAGTTTTTTTTATCAATTCAATTTTATTTTTCCACTGGATTATTGTCCCTTTTATTTTGTCGAACATTTTATTGATCTAAATAAATTAAAAGCAAATTTAAAAAAGAACGATAAAATCCAGTGTTATAGCTCGAATATTCTCAATCGAAATGAAATTTGAAACATGTTTTAAATTTTTGAACTGCTTTTAGAAGAAAATATAACAGAAAAATTCAATTTTATGTGAAAATTGAGTTTTTAACTCTTTAAAATGAATTCAAATTGATTATTATGATATACAATATTTCTTTCCGAAGTTGCGAATCTTTCAAAATTCTTGCAGAATAAAAAAATAAAATATAAAATAATCCTTGGATGATTAAAGTTAGAATGAAATTACAATAAAAGATAATACATGATGTCCATATTATCCAAAACTATTATTAGATTAAACAAAGATATGACACGATACTACGCTTGTTTTTGAAGCTTAGTCACATGATGTATTTCTGTTTAATGTAACAATTGGTAATAATGTGACAATATTTAAAAATTCATATTGAAATTCACTATGAAAGAAATCCATTTTTACTGCATGAGTTCAAATATTATAATACTGCTTGAAATTATATTAAATTGTAACATTTATATAGACAGAATTCATATACATATAGGATCAAAAATTGTTATTAAATATCTTACAAACTAATAAATAATTGAAGTTACAATTTTATTAATCTTATCTCCACCATCCTCTCCAAAATTCAATTCATATTTTAATTTTATTTACTATCCAAATTTTTATTCTAAATGAAAAAATTATAATTAGAAGTCTTTTAATATTTTCTAAATACAACATTAAAAATCCTTGATTCGTTCGACGTAATCCAATCAATTTCATCATTGTATCAAATCTGCCATATAGATATAATTCCATCAAAGATATATATTCAAAGCAGGATTTGAAATACTGATTTCAATGGACATTGATAACATGACATGAGTGAGAAACAATTGCTATGTAGTGTAGAACATGTTAAAGGAACAGCTTCGAGGAAATGTAACTGTCAATAGACGGAACTCTCTCTCAGTTGTGAAATCTGAGAGCTCTTGACTGGTTCGAACATTAGTACTTTCGCATATCTGATATCTTGTCGACTAACAATTAATGTACGGAATAGTTTCACTAAATAGAATCCATTTCATCTTTGAACGAAGGACACAAAATGAGAATTAAATAAGTTAAAAAGGAACACAATAAAAAGTTGAAAATATTTTTATAATGTCTTAATCGGATTTATAGCTATTTTTTAATAAAAATTGTCATGACAAAAAATAATCGAACGCGAATTGCATAAGCAAATGTAAAAGTGAGGTTAAACTTTGTTCACGCCAATGATAATGATAGTGCAGGAATATTGCATATCAGAATTAATGATTTAACAAATCTATAATCAGAACATCTTAAACTTCAGAAAATTAAAAAGAAAATACAATGCATAGTTATAAATGCAATATGTCGTATATGAATTGATGCTGTTTTCTAATAGTTTAATTTATGATTTCACTATATTATGATTCGTTTATACATCCAGTATTTTAAATATGTGAACGGATATATATCTATTTAGAATTATTTATAAAATCATTATTTATAAAATTTCGCCTTAAAGAATACAAATATTTACAAATTTGTTGTCTCACAGTTTCTATGTACATACATTTATTATCCTCCTAGTAAGTCAACATTTCAGATATAGAGAAAAAAAGAGGTTATGAAACGTTTTCGCTTCTTAGATGAAAGCATAAAACAAGCGTAAAAACAAATTTGTAAACAAATTTTCGTATATAATAATTATCAATACATATTTCTAATAAAATCTTTTAATCGAATGATAAAATTTTTAGCATTATAAAATTCCGATATATAGTTTGAAAGAAAAACTAAAAACATAAAAAAAAAAATATTAATTTTTAGTTAATTTTTCTATAATAAAAGAGTTAAAGATTCTTGAAATTTCCAATAAAGCATTAATTGAAAGAGAATTGATTAACTTATAGTACATAGTATAACATTTATTATTAAAAAATTTTACTATTTGATGGAAAACCAATGTTCGTCGTTATTGTAAACTAGTCGAAACTAGACAACTTTGCTCAACATAGATGGTTGTATTGTAGTGTACAAAAGAACAGCCAAATTTCTCTCTCCAATACTTCTTTTTTACTTTGGCAAACGACGATCATTTTTGTTTCATGAAACCGTGATAGAAACACACGGATGTTTTTTTTTCGTTGCTTTGTCGACAATACGAGTGAATGCTTCTCAATCCTG